AGGTCAGATTTGACCCACTTTAGAAACCAAGTCATGTTAGATCCGACCCGGTTCTGAACTAGTTCAAAAAAATCCAAACCAAGTCAGACTTGACTTGGATCAAATTAAAGCGGGTCGCGTCAAAATACCTGACCTACAAAAACTAAGTTGGGTCGAGTCGGCACAAAAACCTGACCCGACCTGACCTATGCACAGCCCTACACACTAATTAGTAATAACACCATCACAGACTTAGACCCCATAAGACAATGACGACAACTGTGCTTCTCTTCCTCCTTCACACACTTCTGGCCACCGTGATAGTGCTGCCAGTGCCATCTCCGGCAGAAGCCTATGACGGCCAATGGCAGCTCCTACAGAAAAGCATAGGCATTGTCGCCATGCACATGCAGCTATTACACAACGACTTGAAGTCCGGGGTAAAGACTTGAAGAAAGACAATTATAACCCGATAGCTTGAACGGTCAATCTTTATGTTGATAGATATATAATTCCCGGATCATATATATATGATTATAAAATATCTAAACAATATAAAATCAGAGTTGAGATTGTGTGTACCTTGTTGGATCATCACAAAGCCAAAAAAAGAAGGGACTACATGCCAGATCTTTTTCTCTATCGCCTATTTCGATAAAGGCAGCCTCAGTGACAGGGAGCATGATGACTTATGGAGTTTAACTCCAATATAAATAGGCTAGAGAGGGGACCTAGCTAATAACCCAGAAAAGAGTCTGTGTCCACTAGATCCACCCATCATGGAAAATCAGGGTCACGCTAAAGTCTACACTATTGTCCAACTAAGCCCAATAACAACCGATGCCAGAAGCCCAATTCAATGTGATCACAATGGGCTAGTTACAATAATAATATTGGAATATTCATTAACCCGATTAATTTTAAAATACAAAACTAATTAATTAATATTGCCCATAAAATAAAATTTCTAACATATGTTAGAGTAGAAAACTCTAATTTATGCACCCTGGTAACCTGGACAACCAACATATCGTGCTGGGGAAAACTGTTATGGACCTGTATAAGGCCCATATACTTAAGAGGCCCAATAGAAGATGGACTGTTGAATAACATACAGACAACGGATCAGGCCCAGAGGAAGGAGACCCGAATGGCTCAAACCCTAAGGTAAACACTATAAATAGAAGCTAAAGACCACAAGTATGAACTAATCTCTCTCTTTTATTATGCAATCACTTTACACACACACCCCTTCCCTTTTTCGGCTAAGGCCTAATAATCGTGTACAGTGATTTGCTACCCCCAAGATATCTAATGCATATGTATTTAGAGAGAGCACAAGATTCTATATTGATCCACTAATCCTTAGCTAGACATCCCTGTCACACCGAAAAATATCAAAATTAATTTTGTTTCTCTTATTCCTTAAAGAAAGTAATGGACCATATGGGTTTCTATGATCATGGCCCATACCTCAAGTAGTGTTTTGTACCAATATCTCAATTTACGATAATATGATTTTTGCATTCAGTTTACGATAATATCTGAAAATTAAAAATTTAGAAAAATTCAATTTTTTGGAAATCTCCAAAAATCCCGCGTACCAAACAGGCCCGAAGGTCTCCTTTTTATACCTAGGATTTTTACGTAACCTACTATAAATAGGAATATATTCACCAGCATCTTTGATTTTATTTTTCTGAATGGACTTTTTTATATTAAATTTTGGCATATAGACAATTTTAATAAAAAAAATGAGTATAATACTATTTAATTTTTCTCATTACATGGATATGTATGGAAGGGACGAGACTTATTAAATTGTGCCATAGGTTGAATATTGTCAAGTTAATTTAGGGATTATAGTTTATTCAAATATTAACCACGATTAACTGTGACAAATATTCGTAGCGTAATTATTCAAAATACAACTTCTCTCACACTCTTCTCATGTTGTACTCATTACATTACTTTAATAATATATTCCAAAATTACTTTATTCCGGTATTTTTTAAAAGACGATATGCTCTAAATTTTACATGATCCGATTAAATATTAAACTTGTCCTTATCAGCATTAAATTAATAGTTCCAATCAATGATATTTATAATTTTTTATGAAGAGTCCACATGTGACGTGAACCATGAGAGTAACCAACTCACCCGCAATGAACCACCGTACTAACACTCATAATCTCAAATGTAAGATTGATAAGACGAAGAGCATTGTTAATGTTACCTGGCACCGTAACGAGTGCTATTCTCATTTTTATATTATGGACAAATTATTAATGATGTATTTCGGAAAATATATGGATAATGTAATAGAGTTTTTTTTTTTTCTTTCCTTGTATAACATGTCAGCACGGGTGTTTTGTTTTTTATTTAAATGAATGTAGGTGCACTTAAGATATTTTCAATATTATGAAAGAAATAGTATAAAAACAATATTTTATAATAAAATATGTGAAATTAATATATATTTTTTCCTTTTCAGGCCAACACTGGTTGGGGATAAATTTTTGGTACATTAATGTTCCCAACTCGGTTTATCTTATTTTCAAAAGAATTTTTTTTTTCAATATTATGAAAAAAAAATTCAAAAATAGTGAAAAAAAATTTCAAATATGAAAAAAAATACTGAATTAGATATATTTGATGCACAAAAAATTTATCTGCTGGTTGGCGGCTGCTGGTGTAAGTTCATGGGACAGCTATATGCAACTCTCTCTCTTTTTTTTCTTTTTTTTTGGTAAATGCTACTTGCAACTCTACTCCTTCCTCTGTTCATACTTCTTTGTTGGTTCATTCATTTCAAATCTCAAAATAATGGAACTCGGAGTTATGTTATTCTTTGTTGGTTGGTCTGGCCGTTGGGCATTTAGGTCTTCTTTGCCAACTACTTTAAAATTTGTTGACAAGAGGTTCATAGTTTCATACAGTGTTCTTTTTTTTTCTCTCATCATTAATTTACTAATTAAATTTTGTATCAATATTCATTTATTGTCGTCAACTAATAACCGTAAATTCTGCTTTATTTAAGGACGCTAGGTAGGTTAATTACTGCCTTAAAGTTTAGAATAAATTAAAGTGGATTTATAACTTGCGTGTTAATGAAGGGAAAAAGAAAATGATTAATTATCAAATGATTGTAGTTCAGTTAGCGGTAGAAAATTCAACATGTGGAAGTGAAAATATATGTTCGATTTTCTTTAATATCGTTTTTGGGAGAAATTTAAAGCCTTAATCTCAAAACTGATACTGAATCAGAGTAATTATAAAACGATGAATCGATTGAAATATTTCAAAAAATAATAATTATTATTATTTTATTTTTTCTTTTAAAGGGTCAAGGACCCAAAAGAAAACAACTATGTACCTTTTAAATCAAAGTACATTAGTACAGGCAAGCAAATAACATAAGGTCTATGATGGCAAACGTAAACCCCTAGATCAAGTTGGTGATTAAGACTAGCAATGGCATACGTACGTGCAAGCACAGCCCTTGCTAACAAAACCGAGAGAAAAACCTTTCGTCAAATGTCCCTATAGAAATGGTAATAGGGGCCAGGGGTGATGCACTGATGCATGCTAGTCTCGAGGAACCCTTGAGAATCAGCATCAATGATAAATTGACAATCAGATGAAAAAATAGAACTGTAAGTGGGTCAGACGTCCTACCAATCTGATTATCTGTAATTATTTGTATTTTTTAATTTGTCATATAACTATTTTGAAGGATATATATTTTGGTATCTTGAAAAATAATTAAAAACATGTCATTTCTTTAATGATTATTTGTAACTTAAAACTATATATTAAAAGAAATAATATTCTAAAGCAGAAACTATATATTAACGTAATGAAATGAAGTAATAGATCTCAACTTTAGAAAACTTCTCTATATGTCACATACTCACATTTAATTTATTGTGGTATTTATAATAAAAGTGATTAAAATAACTAATCTTAATTAAATTACTATATATAAAAGAGAAATAGACTTAGCAATAAAAGAGAGAGTAAATTATTATAGGGTTCAGCATTATCATTGATTAATTATATTTTAGTTACTTTATATTTAGGATTTCATATGTTTTGTATTTTACTTTTATTTTTTTGGTATGTCAATCTTAATTGAATTCTAAACTTATTTCAGTAACATTATGCTACATTATTTTTTACTTCTTTTTATTAAATCTAACTTCAATTCTTACTTTACCAAAAAAAAAAAAAGAATTCTAAGTTTTTATTATAACTAACCTAAAATTTATTAGTTTTTTTAATGTTTTCCTCAATTAATTAGTAACTATATTTTATTTACTGATTTCATTTGTTCGCAAAGAAGTGCAAGAGAATATTCTTACGCTGAGGGTTTACTAGATAGTATTGCCTATCTATAATGTAAACGTTTCTCTCCTTCTAGGGATAAATTAGAATAGGGTATATCTAATTTAAAAACTTATTAGAAGTATTTGATAATCTATTTACTTAAAAAAGAATACTTGATATTTGATAATCATATGAATATAGTTCCCACCCTAAAAAAAAATGATAGTATCAAAGCTTATATTCAAATAAACTAAAATTAAATTCTCATTTATAAATTTCAAAAAACGAGGAAGAAAAATTAGGACACTAACTAATAAAAAGAAAATGTTTTTAATTAAATTTTTTCTTTATACTAACTAATTTTACAGTTCTTTGTTTTTTTGAAAAAAAATTATTTTTTTATTTCAGTATTAAAAAAAAGAAAAGAAAGAATGGCGTGTACCTCCCATAAAAGTCCAAACACGTGAAAAGAAGGTAGTGATAATAGGCTGAAGATTTGCAGCAACAAAAACAAATTGAAGATAGAATCTTGTCCCACGCGTTCACTGGCTTATTGAGAATATATAGTAATCACTATTCAATGTTTCTTGTGTAATGATTCTTCGTCACCACTACACTACATAAACCCACTGGCACACACTAATTAGTAATAACACAATCACAGACTTAGAAGTCAGACACCATAAGACAATGACGTCAACTTTGCTTCTCTTCCTCCTTCACACACTTCTGGCCACCGTGATAGTGCTGCCACTGCCATCTCCAGCGGAAGCCTACGACGGCCAATGGCAGCTTCTACAGAAAAGCATAGGCATTGTCGCCATGCACATGCAGCTATTACACAACGACCGCGTCGTCATTTTCGACCGCACCGACTTCGGCTTTTCCAACCTCTCTTTACCCAACGGAAGATGCCGCCACGACCCGAACGAAATGGCCGTGAAAACCGACTGCAGCGCGCACTCCGTCGAGTACGACGTGGCATCCAACACATTCCGCGCACTTTTCGTCCAAACCAACGTCTGGTGTTCCTCCGGCACTGTGGCGCCCGACGGAACGCTGGTCCAAACCGGCGGCTTCAACGACGGAGAACGCAAAGTGAGAACCTACAATCCCTGTCCCACCTGCGACTGGAAAGAACTCGAAGGCGCACTCGCCGCCCGGAGATGGTACGCCACCAATCACAAGCTGCCGTACGGCCGGAATATCGTGATCGGCGGCAGAAGGCAATTCAACTACGAGTTTTACCCAAAGAACGATGCTTCTGCTAAGAACATTTACAGTTTACCTTTTCTTGTTCAGACGAATGATCCGCGCGTGGAGAACAACTTGTACCCTTTCGTTTTTCTCAACGTTGATGGAAACCTCTTCATCTTCGCCAACAACAGAGCCATCTTGTTCGATTACACTAAGAATCTTGTCGTTAGAACATTCCCGAACATTCCAGGTGGAGATCCCAGGTGCTATCCTAGTACAGGTTCTGCTGTGTTGTTACCGTTGAGGAATCTCCAACAACCGGAAGCTGAGGTTTTGGTTTGTGGTGGAGCCCCGAGAGGTTCTTATGAGAAAGTGCAAAAGGGTGAGTTTCTCGGAGCATTAAATTCATGTGGTCGGATTAAAATAACCGACCCGAACCCGAATTGGGTGATGGAAATCATGCCTGGGGCTAGAGTCATGAGTGATATGGTGCTGCTCCCGAACGGCAACGTTTTGTTAATTAATGGAGCGGGTTCAGGGACTGCAGGGTGGGAATTCGGGCGTGACCCGGTTTTAAACCCGTTTATTTACAAAACAAATAGTCCAATCGGGTCTCGGTTCGAAGTGCAAAACCCGTCTAGTATTCCCCGAATGTACCATTCCACAGCAATTTTGCTTCGTGATGGGAGGGTACTCGTTGCGGGTAGTAACCCTCACGTGGGTTACAGTTTCAGCAATGTGTTGTTTCCAACGGAACTTAGTGTTGAGGCGTTTTCTCCTTCGTATCTTGAACCGGGTTTATCTAGTATGCGTCCAATGATTGTTTCTCCTAATTCACGGACTCAAAATATTACCAAACTCAAATACGGTGAGAAGTTGAAGGTGCAGTTTAAGGTGACAGGAGTATTGTCTCAACATATGGTGTCGGTGACTGTTTTGGCGCCTCCTTTTAACACGCACTCTTTCTCAATGGGTCAGAGGGTGTTGGTGTTGGAGCCAAGCAATGTGACAGTTGTTGAGGACACACGGTATGAAATTGAGGTCACCACACCAGATTCGCCTATTCTTGCACCACCCGGTTTTTATCTACTGTTTGTGGTTCACGTAGAAATTCCCAGCGAGGGTATTTGGATCCAAATACTTTGATTTTCATCTGTTAACCGGTAACAACAATATCAACGACATATAGTTTTATATCATTGATTCCATTAATTATATATTATAATTTGATAACCTAAGTGATTATATATTGATTACATTTTGCTACAAAAGGGTGGTGGTTTGTGATTTTATTTTACAAATCTTTGTATTTTGTCGTCTACTATTCCATGATGCAGTATGGTCGTGGCATATACCAACGCCATACAAGTTTTAGTATGAACAGGAATAATTATTGTCTTGTGATCGAGTGAATAAGAATTTTGAAAATAGCCTTTCAGTTCAAATAATCTTTTATATATTATAAGAAGAAAAAAAACTCGGTAAATCTGAACGTATATACGCATTGATTATGTTAAACATTGTAGCTCCAATCATAATTAATTTAAGATCAAGGCATGCAATTTCATTGCGATTAAAATTCCAGCCAACGCAGCTACACTAAAGAAACTGGTCAATTACAATGATTTACCATTGACTAGCTAGAGGGATTTATTTATTTATTTTTCTTTGGGCAATATTAAGGCATAATTATGAAGGAATATGTCACTCGAATATAGGATGTGATGTACTGTTTATCAACGTATATTCTCGGTAATATAAGGTATATAGCAGTATATATATAACTTTTAATAGTTTCAATTACTTATATAGTTATATACCTAATTTTAAGGTTCTGGAATTTTGTGAACGATCAAGTACGTACAAACGCCAAGTTATAGCTTATTCAATATATATATATAATAAGGTATATCGGTATAACATCCAAAAGAAAAGTGTTCCTTTCCTTTAATAATTAACTGGATCCAGGAAATTCCCACATTCCTCCTTTGTTCGTATTGGAAGTGATATTACTTCTTATTTACAATTACATCTTATACATTCAGGTGTTGTCTGTTTATTTAATGAGTTTGGTCGATAAGAATTGTCTGTTATTAATTTTCATATCCAATTGATGCAGACTCGTACACTAATTAGTAGGTGTAGTACTGAAAATTTATCCGTATTCCATTGGTTATTTCTCAATCTTTCGCAATGAGTGCCACATATGGTAATAAGTAATAACGTTTGGTGGATACTACCGAGTTACAATAAAGATCGATTTTCGGAGTTGGTGAGTCTGACTTAATTAGTTAATTTAAATATTATTCGTGAGTTTTTGTTAAAGTTATTAAAATTTTATTTTTCATTCTCCTTTTACTCTTCCTCCGTAGGCTTGCTTGAGTTTTAGCAAAATTAAAAAAAAAACCACAGAGAGAGAGAGAGAGAAATTGGCATATGTATACCCCAAATTTATTTTTTAAATCATCAGCTAGATAGTTCCATTTCGTGTGTGGTCCAGCAGCACGTGACACCACCCAAACGTCCAGCTCATATGATACATCAAGGATAACAATAGGGGTGTTCATCAACCGATCGAAATCGATTCAAACCGCAGTAACCGAACCGAAAAATTGAAAACCGAAAAAAAATCGTAAATTTTAATTGGATTGGATCGGTTTTCGGATTGGTAGATGAAAACCGATCCAATCCAATCCAAACCGATCCAATATATTAATTTTCCTTTATCTACTTGGGTCTTTCTCCCATCATAGCCCAAAAATTTCTAAACCCATTAACTCATCAACTAAACTCAAAAAAAAATCTAATCACATCTAATGAACAAAATTTCATATATGTAGAGCTTCATATCTTATTGTCCAAAAAAAAAATCTATATTATCGTTTATTGATACTTTTGTATTTAAAAAAATAAAATTACAAAGCTAATATATACAAAAGATGTTATTTGAGCAATAATCAAGAAACAAATTTTAGGATTTTCAAAAAACCGAAAACAATCCAATCCAAACCGAAAAAAATTGGATTGGATCGGATCAGATTAGAAAAAAAGTCCAAACCGAATGGATGATTATGTGATCAAACCGAAGGGATTGGATCGGATGATTTTTGCTTTCAAAACCGATGCAATCCAGACCGCGAACACCCCTAGATAACAACACTTAAAAAACACGTAAATTAACTTATTCGATTTATATTTTTTTTTTTTTTGGAAATACAGGAAAGAGAAAAAAAAAGCAAACTAGCTATGGACCATCCTGGGTGTAGTAACCCCCATTTGGTCCCTCAATAACAGATGTCTACACTCGGACGGAGGGTTAGGAAAAATTTCCAGCTCCCAAACATGACCAAGGGCACTAGAGGCCAGCCAATCTGCCAGAGAGTTCCCTTCTCTTAGGGTATGAGTTACTTCAACCATCCAATCTTTCGCCAATAAAGCACAGGTTCTGCTAACCAGGGAGAAGAAAGGTTGGTTCCTAGCACAACCATCCTTAGCAAAGCCAACTGCAACGGTAGAATCACTTTCCAGCAAGACCTTCCTGTAACCATGATCCCAAGCAACTTCCAGCCCCAACAGGATCCCTTTCAGTTCGACAAGAAGAGTGTTGCCATGGCCTGTGAATTTCCTGAACCCAACAAGCCACTTCCCTCCTGAGACCCTCAAGACGCCACCACATGATGATCTAGCTCCCTCTAGAGAACAACTGCCATCAGTGTTAACTTTAGTCCATCCCGCCAGAGGAAACTTCCAGCTAACAAAGAGTTCAGAGTGGGGTCTAGGAACAATATTGGCTGAAGCGAGGAGTCTGTCCGCAAGTTATATGCCATCCACCATGGATTTGGTTTGGAGGAAGGCGCTGACGGGATTGGGAGGAGTGCCTTCAAAGATGAACCTATTGCGGTCCTTCCAAATGTTCCAACAGGTTGTACCAAACCAGATTCTAGCATCTTCTCCTATGATGGTATTCTTTCCCCTACTCAGATGAAACCTCAACCAGTCATCAAGGGAGAGGCTAAAAAAGTTATGTTGATGCTCAAAGGGAACAATTTTCTTCCAAACTAGTTTAGCCCACACACAATCTCTCAGCACATGGATTCTGTCTTCTAAAGGATGGCCACACCGCGAACAGGCAGCAGAGTCAGTCATCGTCCTGCAGACACGTTGGGAATTTGTGAGCAGCTTATCATGAAGGACGAGCCAGAGGAAGAGTTGAATTCTATGGGGGCCATGCCATTTCCATGCAAGGTTCCAGAAGAGGTTGTTCGAATTGGGCGGGGGGAAAGGTGATAGTAGGCCGACTTCACAGAGAAGTTGCCATCGTTGTAGGCACTCCAAATTACTCTGTCATCCCCATCATCCGGCAAGGGGGGGTCAGATCGGCAATGTAGTTGATCACCTGAGTGGGAAGAAGGTGATGGAATAGATCCCATCTCCAAGAACCATTAGGATGGACGTAGCTATTAACGCAAACCTGCAGCATGGCTCCCTGCACAGGACCCGTAGCAGCAGACATCAAATTGTCCACATGAGGAACCCATTTGTCAAGCCAAATTTTTTTTCTGCTCCCATCTCCATTTAGGATTCACGAACCTTGAAGAACATGCGGCCAAAGGTTCATCACTCCTTTCCAAAGGTTTGAAGATATAGAGGGAGTAGAGGGGTAAGGAAGTAGGTCTTCTCCTACCCCATACTTGTTCTGAATAACCCTAACCCAAAGAGCATCAGGTTTAGAAACGATCCCAAAGCCAACTTTCATGATCAGCGCCTTGTTCATAAGCCTGGACTGCCTCATGCCCACACCACCACACTTCTTCGGTCGACAGAGGGTACTCCAATTAGCTAGATGGGTTTTCCTCTGGGAATCAGAGGAACCCCAAACAAAGTTCCTTGTACTCCTATCCAGATCCTCACACACCTGGAGGGGGAGGGAGACTGACTGCGTAGTGTAAGTTGGGAGGGCTGCCAAGACTGATTTGGCCATTGTTATACGACCCGCTAATGAAAAAGAACGCTGACTCCAAATCTCCATACGGTTGCAGACGCGGTCCATGATATGGCAGAGGGAGGCTTTGTTAACCCTTTTGTGATGCAGTGTTATCCCTAGGTATTTACCTAGGTCCCCGGTGAGGTTAATATTGAGGCACTCGCTGATCTCCTTAGCCCTATTAAAGCAGGTGTTCTTGGAGAAGAAAACCTTGGATTTCTCCTTACTGATGGTAAGGCCCGAGGCATCACAAAAAACCTTGAAGACTTGGTTGATAGTATGGGCTTGATCAATTGAGGCCTCCGCAAACAAAACAATGTCGTCAGCAAATAGAAGATGGGTGAGATGGGGGCCATTCTTCTTGAGAGTAATTGGTTTCCAATCGTTAACCTGAGACGCAAGTTGGATCAAGTGGGCCAATATTTCCACACAAAGCACAAATAGGTAGGTAGACAAGGGGTCCCCTTGACACAAGCCTCTATCAGGTGTGAAATCCTTGGTCCTTTCCCCATTCCAAAGAAGATTCATGGAGGAAGAGCTGACGCACTTGTCTATCAGTTGAATGAGGTTATCCGGGAGACCTACTTCGAGTAAGGTATCATGAATAAAACTCCAATCCAGGTTGTCGTAAGCTTTAGCAAGGTCAAGCTTAAGGGCCATCCAACCCTTGTTCTCTCTCTTGGTCTTCATAGAGTGGATAACCTCTTGGGCAATAATAATATTGTCATGACCATTCCTACCTGTAATGAAACTACACTGGTTAGGGGAAATCCAATTATGCATGTGGGTTTTCAACCGACCTGCAATCAGTTTTGTAACAATCTTATAAGATACATTACAAAGACTGATGGGGCGAAGCTGGTTCAAATTCTCAGGGTTCTCAACTTTGGGGATGAGCACAATGAGAGTTTGATTAATGTCAGCAATCTTGCTGGGATTAGAGAATATGTCTCTTATAAGCGAGCATAAAGATGTGTTAACATGACTCCATTGAGATTGGTAGAAGATAGCCTGGAGGCCATCAGGCCCAGGTGCCTTAAATTTGCCCATGCAGAATACAGTGCTCTTGATTTCGTCCAGGGAGGGGATTCTGGCCAATGTTCCTCTTTCTTCTTCACTGATTCGATGAAATGCACCTTTGATGGGAAAATCTTCTACCTCC